AACTTTGACGAATTTTTGATTAACAAAACTCAAGGATTTCAAAGCGAGCAATGGCAACGTTGTGCAGAAAAAAAAACATTTTTATCTCCAGCGCGTGAGTCTCTGTATCGGAAATTCTAAAAAGATACGCTCGTTTTAAAACTATTTTGCGATATTGCTGTTGCACTGGATCTTATGGTTTATGTGCGAGGAACATGATATTTAATAAAGAAAGGTAACACACAAAATGTTAAAAAATGCCCCTATGGACGTAATTTAAAATCTGAAACATTTCAGTTTTTTTTTTTTTTTTTTTTTTTTTTTTTTTTTTTTAAGCCCAAAAGGGGCTTTGTCCCTGAAAGACTATTGTTTTCGTTTTGCGATTTTGCGTTGGTTCACTATAAATGTCCATTTCACTTTTCAAACTGTTGCCACCCAATGTTAGAGTCCTGCATTATATTTGAAGAAATTAAATAATGAAAAATCTGCATAAATGTATGTCTATTTCTCGCATTGTGGTAAAACAACGGTACATTGAGCCATCGAATTTTGAATGACGTAATCCTGCTCCGAACATAGGCATGTGGAAGCCCAAATTTGAAATTGGAATTTGTTTTATGATCGATTTCATATTTTGTAAATCTTTAACGAATTTTTGATTATCAAAGTCAAGGATTTCAAAGCGAGCAATGGCAACGATGTACAGAAAAAAACATTTTTATCTCCAGCGAGCGAGACTCTGTATTGGAAATTCTAAAGGATATGCTCAATTTAAAACTATTTTGCGATATTGCTCTTGAACTGAACTTTATGGTTTAAGCGCGAAGAACTTGATATTTAATAAATAAAGGTAATAGACACAATGTTAAAAAAAAACGCCCATTTGGACGTAATTTAAAATCTAAAAAACTTTCCGATTTTTTTTTCCAGTTCATCACATCAATGTTCAGTTTGCTTGGTGACATAGCTTACAAAACCTTTTTTGTCTTTTTAGTATAATTTTTTTCTGTCAAAATTTTTTTATTAAATATAATGTTCTTCGCACTTACGCATATAAAATTCAATTCAACGGCAAAATAACAAAATATTTTAAAAAGCATGTGTTTAGAATTTCTGATACACACAATATAATGTTTTTCGCACTTACGCATATAAAATTCAATTCAGCGGCAAAATAACAAAATATTTTAAAAAGCATGTGTTTAGAATTTCTGATACACAGTCTCGCTTGCTTGAGATAAAAATATTTTATTCCTTGTAGTGATGCCACTGCTCACTTTCATATCACTGAATCTGTTCATCAAAAATTCATTAAAATTTTACAAAACGTTAAATATATAATTTGACACCCAAGTTCTTCCAGGCTCACATGTTCGGGTGAAGACTACGTTATTCAAAATCTGATGGCCCTGTGTACCGTCGTTATTTCACAATGCGAGGAATATGCACACATTCATACATGCAGATTCTTCGTTATTCAATTTCTTTAAAATTAATACAGGATGATAATATTTGGAGGCAATAACTTGAAAGGTGATTCCCCGTTTATAGAGGACGACGCAAAATTCCGTTTTGAGACTAATAGTCCACTGAGGTGAACGCCATTTTACGCTAAAAATGAAATATAATGGAAAAAATCTTTCTATTATTATATCTAGATAAGACTAGTCTATATTGTATTTAAATTTTACACCGATATCAACTTGAATATGAAATTACATTACATGATATATATTTCTCGAGATAACGTGGTATTAATATTTAGTTTCCCTTAGCTATATATTGAAATCCATGCTAAAACCTTTTAACATGCAGCCAAAAGTAAATACAAATCTCAAATACCTTTATTTTATCAAAATAAGAAACGAATTATTGCATAAAACCACGATGAACGAATTGGTATTAAACGCCTTCTTTAACCTTGCTTAAGACTGCGGAAGAAATGAATGGTGTAGATAACTTAAAACAACAATACTCGGAAAACTAATGACTTCGTTGAAAGGGAAAGACAGTGTTAAATTGTGAAGTGATTCAAAAAAAGCGATTAGTTTTCGTAGCAAATAGATCGCTTAACACGTAAAAGCTTTATTGCTGCTGTATAGTTATTTTTATTATATTATCAATTTTACTTTGTATGCTACTTTTTACGTTAGTGAAAATGCCTGAAAAAAGAAGAATTTTCATTAATGACCAATGAATTTATTTCCAGTGAATTTCTAATTTTATGTGCAAATTAGAGCAGTAAATACCACTAAAATGGGTTTTTTTATTTATAGGTAAATTTATAATTTTGATAAACTTTAGAATATGAAGTTATAAAATTCGTTTAACTAAGTAGGCTTAACCCCATTAAATTTATTCAGATATTGACTCAGCTAGTTTTCAAATAGTAAATTTTGGATGTAAACTTAGCATCTGTACTAAACACAGATGCTTATCTTTCCTTATTCCGGGTTCCACTTTAAGTTACCCAAACATTTTTCAAGGAAACTTCTCAATATGCTCTTTTAAGAATAACACTCTTTGCACATACGTGACTGACGTGAATTTTTTAAAATTTGAAAACATATGGACTCCCCGTGCACCACATATGTACAACACGGGGCTTACAAAAGTAAATTAACTAAAACATTAAAAGTTACATGCATAAATAAAGCGAACAAAAGCAGAGAACAGCAGTCTGGACTTCACGAAAACAGAGAAGTTCACTGGCCAAGTCATTCTCAAATCGTTCTGCAAGCATAATCTAGGGCCACATCCTTTTTGAACATTCACATAAATCGTTTGATGTTATATTAAAATGAAATAGGTAACTCGTACATTTACCGTAACCAGATAAAAACTGACAAACTTTTAAAATTTATAGACTCGGAATGCAGTCTACGGTATTTTTGGTGACCTCAGCATTACAAGATGAAATATATTCCTCATCTCACTTAGCTAAAAGCTTTTTATAATGAAAGGACTTCCAATAGAACTTTGGAATGCTAATGTTGATATCAATGGTTAAATTTAAGGCATCTTTAGCTAAGAAATCATCTCTTTCATTTCCATAGAAACCATGATGAGAACGCACATAAGCAAAGCTATATCAATTCCTCTATTTCTAAGCGAACTGACAGTTAATAGGGTTTTCGATAACTAATTTGTCGCAGCTGATAATACTGTTCAAAAGTTGAAGGGAAGAAAGAGAATCAGAACAAATTGTAAGGTAATTTGTTTCGAATTTGTGTCTGCGAACTGCTAATATGGATTTGCATAACTTTAAGGAATCACGTTTACTCTTATGCGGCAGTTGAAACTCTTATGGTTTCTTTAAGATAAAAATTAACTGCTTTTATGCAGAGTGTTAGATAACAAGTTTGCTTCCCTCATTTGTCTCCATCTCAAGTAGTGTACTTGGGAAGAGTGGGGTAAGCATTTCATTTGAAAAGGTTATGACGAACATAAGTTTGCTTAATGATACGTTTGGGAAGCGATTTTTGGCTACGCTTCTTACGTAGGCATACAAAACGGATATAGCTAATAATCTGTTAGAATATATGAAGCTATTATATTGCTGCGTGAGCACGGGCTTGGAGTGGACTGAATGAGTACAGAACCGATGATAGCTTGATAAAAGTTATTTTACCAAAAGGAACACTTTACAATTCCAGAACTTTCCACAAAAGCACTCGTACAGTTCTTCTCAGCATCACAGAGCCCAATCAGTATTTACATTTCAAACTACTAAAAACATTAAACACAACGAAATGCAAAGCGCATCAAAACAGCGAAGCTCAGATGGAGATCTCTCAATACTCCGAAGTCGACTCTGAAGTGAAAAGCTGAGAGCTGACGCTCTCTCCGATCTTATATAGTTTACCCCGCCCGCTTCAAAACCTGTATCTCCTTTATTTATATAATTTCTTTATATAAGTTACATATAAGGGCCGTATGCGGTTGAAATTACATGCAAGGATCAATTTCAATCATTGAATTTACAGTATCAATTGCAGTTATACAGGGACCGGAAATCTATAGTACCATGTAGAGTCATTAAGTTTTTTTGGCACTCGAACTCTGGATGTGTCGAATAAGAGTATGCTTTCATTTAAACCATAAAGAGATGCGAAAATTAGGAAGAAAATACCTTATATACTCCCCCCTTTTAAAAGGCGAAAAATTGCCATTTATTTAAAATGCTGACATTAACGAAAGATTTTCGACACGCAGTAACGGCACATACAATCGTCTGCTTTCTTCAAAATCAATAATAATATGTTTAATGTTTGGCAATGCTATTTTTATTTCAGATTTTGTAAAACTTGCAAATTTTTTGTTTAACAAACTCTGCGATTTGAAGGCGAGCAGTGGCAACACTTTTCGAAATAAAGCAGATTTTTATCTTCAGCTGGCAAGAGTGTTTCTACTCAAAACAATGAGTGCGTTTCAGTTTAGCGTTTTCAGAGTTTGTAATTAATACCTCGGCTAATTAAATTCGTACGGTGATGATAATGGTCAAATTCTCACGAATTTTTGGAATCCGAAGTACCTCTCTCGAAACTCAACTCCCCGCCGTTCCGGAGGAGATAATGCCGCAAACAAACAGTAGCGCAGAGATTTTAATAGTGTAGATTAATTTAAGTTTCTGATATATATATGCATATAAATAATATATATACATATATTATTTATTAACTAAGTTATTTATTAGATAGATATATAGATATAGATATAAATGGATGTGTAAAATATTTTTCTGAAAAGAAACAATGTATAGAGTGACGTAATAATTTTTTAATTCACTGCAATCAAGAATAAAGAGGAAATCCCTTCGTTCTGGCAACGCCCATGCGTTTGTAGGAGGTCAACCAACTGGACAATAGGGAAAGAATGCAAACTTTTTCTATTTTATTCACACCTTTTCTCGTCAGTTCCTTGACAAGTACTAGGGATTCTTTCCCAAGGAAGGTGGCCTTGCTCGAATTAAAGATGTCGGAGGTATTTCTCATCTTAGTATATAAAGACAAATGTTTGGAGAGGAAGCATTAATTCGTGTCCAGATACGAGTTTGCATCTTTTGCGAAAATGAAGGTAAGCCATGTTTTATGCCTATATGTTTCATTATGTATAAGAAGTTCTTATAGTTCATGTGGTATTGAATTGGACTGAATTTAGCAAAGAAATTCTAAATAGCGAATAATTTTTGCTGAAATAATTCAACAACTTTTACGGTCATTTTTTAAATGATCTCACAAATTCCTTATTAGCCTTAAAATAATTCGTGAATTTAGGGCTGATAGTTAGAGATTATTATATTTTATCTTGTATTGCAAACAATATCTGTATATATATATATAGGTAGATAGATATAGGTATAAATATAAATATATATTATATATAGTATAATATAAAATATTTTTTTAAATATGGCATTTTTTAAAGAAAAACTAAGGCTTAAAATTTATTTGCTTGGAATAATATGATAGAAATTTTTAACTTTTGTTGCTTTGTTTACCAAGAACATTTTTAATCATCTTTTCAAGCTTGGAAAATTTTAAAAAACATTCACAGGAGTATATTACTACTTATATTATTTAAACTTCATTAAAAAATTCAACTTCGCTGAATATTTCATTAACTTATAAGGTATTTCTCCCACTTCGCTAGAGTGTCATCGTGGTGTAACGGTAGCACGCTAGGCCGGTATTCCAGAGGTCCGTGGTTCGATTCCCGGCAAAGGTGGTTGTATATTTTCCTCTTTTCTGCTTCCAATTAACATAATGACTCTACAAAGTTACTAATTCTAAGCAATCGTACTCTGTATGAGGACTAAGTAAATAATGCTCAATTATACAATATATATTTAATTGTCTTTAACAGTGCTTAATTCATATTGAAATAAATTGGAAAGATCAAAATAGGAATTAATAGTTATTATTAATCTTAAATCCAGTGAATGTAAAAAGCAGTAACACATGTTGTAATTGTATAAAATACACCTATTTTATCAAATGCTTAAACGTATTAATGTCGTTTTAACACGAGTATATTATAATTCCGATGCTATGAAGCGGAAATATTACGTTTTAAATGAAATATTCCTAGCGTTAACAATTCCAGTTCGTCTCCGATTGTTTGAGGAAGTTTGTTTAAAAAGAACTTATAAAACATAATTTTCTTGTCAAATTTAACTTTGGAGTTAGTCAGTTATTTCGGGAAATAGCAAACTTCCTGCTTTAAGACTAAAAAAGTAAGTTTAACATGTCATAAATATTGTAACAATTTTAAGATTTGTAGTTTTCTTTTTTATAGCAAAGCTAGAAATTAAAAGAATAAGAATACCTGCTATGTTTTTTTATAATATAAAAACTACTAACACAGGATTGACCAGTACCATATAAAGCTCAGAAATTTTATCTATATACAGATTACATAATTGTGTAGAAGTCATTTGTTTTCAAACACAAATTAAAATATATAGTTTGGAATTATAAATTACTTCTGTTCCAGGCATTCATCCTTTGCACGCTCTTTGCTGCTAGCCAGGCTGCAGTACTTTTCAGTGCTCCAGCTCTTCTTAGTACAGGAGCAAGTACCCAGTATAGAGCTCAAGATGTAAGAATGTTATTTGATTCTTATTTTCTTAAAATAGACGTTGATTGTAATCTGTAAACTATATTATTCTGTTGTTTATCTAATTAAAATATTGTAACTTTTATAATAATAGTTAATTTTGGGGTTAAAGGAAAATGAAGTAAGAATATTTAGTCTAAACTAGTATTTTGAAAAACGAAAAAAACGAGTGTTAGTTATTAAATCATGACAACTGAGCGTTTTACCTTTAGAAAAAAAATACTTACTAAAATTATAAGCGCAGAAGAAGGCAATATCCCATTTAAAAGTTGAAAACGATATCTGTTATAAACATTCATTTTCCTCCAATATGCCTTAAAAGTGCAAAACGTGTCTAAAATTATCCTTATTGAAATGAATCTACTCTGGCAGTTAACTGTTTACAATTTTTAAAGCTATAAATTTATATTTTTAGCTTAAAAAACTGCTGCTAGTTGTTTTGTACTTTTGCACTTTTAGTTACATTACGTGTGATAAAGAATAGATAAATATACCATCATTAAAAAAAGCTAAAGAAATGTTATTTGCTTTTAAGAAGTATGCTTTAATCGAGAACGCAATAAAAAAAAATCTGATATGTACACCACATGACTTCCTTGTACGAAATATTAAATTTAAAATCCATTCTATTTGTTTACCATAGCGACACTCTGGCGTTAGGTTCACTTAACAGTATTATATTTCGTTCATATTATAACTCAGAATTCACAAAATTTATATCATTTAAAGAATTATCTAATCGTTGCCGCATGGTTTATTCAAATACTATAATAAAGCTAGAACGATATATAAAACAAATTAAACAAAACAAAACCAAAAAGAAACAGTGTTTTACAGACGATTGAGTATTTCTCATTCAATTAATTCAGTTCTTGCTTCGGGACAAGGCAAAAATACATAAAAACTCAACATATCTATATTAAAAATTCCGAAGTAAATCTTAAACACTTATTTCCTCGAAAAAATTCCAGAAAGGATTAAGCATGATGTAATTCGCAATAATAAATGAAGGCGTTATCTTTGTTTTTGCGAAACTAAGTTTCTCTAGATTGGCAAAAAATCCACTATCCTGCTGTTTCAAATGTAAACAAGCAATGGTCGCCATCAAAAAAATTATTAGGCTTAGGGGCACTTAAACAACTCTTAAATTGTTGATAATTCTAAAAATATTGGATACAGATTTATTAAAGGCATAAAAACCTTAACCGGAAGATAAAAACAACATAATTCAATCATTTTTAAAGCAAAAAATGTACAATTTACAAACATATAAGAGTAAAAAAACTGAGATCACTGAGCCGGGTAACAGAGTGGATATATATATATATATAAATATATTTATGTACGTTTGGTGCGGCCGATTGCAACCAAAATACGAGCTGCACATCTACATGTTATAGCAGTCCTATATATAAAATTTCAACGTTCTGAGGCTATTCGTTTTTGAGTTGTGCGAGATACGTACGTACAGACGCCACGAAAAATTCTCTTCAGAATTCATTTTAAAGCAGTTTTATAATTTTTTTGGAGGAACAGAGTCTTTTATTCTGTCCTTACGTACTGATATCACGCAGAAACATCGTTAAACTGCATTCGATAGCATGGATATTTTCGTTGAAATATGCTGCCTGAAACTTTTCTCGATTACAATACTTCCTTTTTACTTCGTACAAGGAAGTAAAAACGACTTTCATTCAGTCTGCACATAGGATAAATTGAAAATTCCATGAAGTTAACCACCGGCTTCAGCCACTAGTAATCAAACCTGAGACAAAGTTCCAGCAGTCAGTTTTCTTTGCTGTCACTACAGGCTCACATATAATAAATTACTAGCATTAAAATTTTATAGAGCAATGGAAAATGTTTACGTTAAAATAATTTGCTGCCTGATTCACTTGATCTGAAGATACACTAAATCAGATCCACGAATTTGTCGTGACAAAGAAGGAAGAAACTGTGCTTATTATTAGTGTAGGTTTTGAGTACTTTGCAGGTAAGTATACACATTTGCCTACCTCCGTTTGAATTTTGACAGAAGAAATCCATCATGTGTAGCCACATCTTTCTTAAACATTAGTGGCAAAGAAAGAGAGGTAGGGCGCATATTCAAGCGTTCCCTACCTCTCTTTCTTTGCCACTAATGTTTTGACAAAACTTTCTGTTAGACAGTATTTTAAGGGAGCCCTATGAAGAAAGAACAATGTTTATTTACAAAACAGCTTCTTACAGGATCTGAATCCTCGCCCAACAATATGATAGTGTTAATTAACCATACCGAACAGAGCTGCAAATGGTATGAAGCTAGTTTTGCTTCTGCTATCTTAAATGTGAAAATTTTGTTTGAAAACAGCATAAATTAATATAAACTTCTAAAATTATTAACAATATTAGATAAAATGTGAATAAAATATAGCGCAAAGTTCTTTTCTACTTGATCTTCTGATTCTTCGATGAAAAATTGAAAGCCTTTTTCTTAAATATATTCGCTTAACTGTAATTAGTATCAAAAACAGCTCTAAATTTAATTAGTATGTCAAATTTAAATTTTGTTTAAATATTTTGTTCGTTAGAAGGGCTCAGAAAATCGTTTCAGACAAACCTGATTCAAATTGGCACAACTGACATATATTTTGTTCCTGAATAATATAATAAATATGAAATTATATTTTTAAATTATATTTTTTTTAAAATTGTGAATTAGTTCTTTTGTTTCTTTTTGTTTTTTATTTCTTATTGGTTTATATGGATTATGTATAGTTCTTTATAGTTCCTTTTTATGATGCATATTCGTGTAGGGGAAGTTCTGTAGACAAGGATTTCTAAAATACATTGGTTTCTAGATTTTTTTTATTATTTTATAAAAATTAATTTTTAAAAAATTTAATTTTTTAAGAAAAAGTTTAATTCTTGACTTTACTTGCTTGTTTCTCAAAAGACTTAATTAGTTTTTCCTTTTTGAACTTAATTCTTAAATGTTAATACTTAAATGTTAATTTCTAAGGGTACCACTTTATTGGAATTACTTTGGTTTTGACTTTATCCTTGCCTGCGATGAATGGACGAAACACGAATTGAATGATTGGAGAGTTAGGTTTGGAGGCAACTTCCCCTTGATAAGTCTGTCTCCTGCCTACTCTACGATCATTCACATATGCATTTTAAAAAAAATTGTTTAATTTAATTTTAATTTATTAAATTAGTAGATTTATTTTCATGGATAGATTTTGCACTAGATTTGCTTATGCTTCTGAATTTAAATGATATTGTAGATTAATTCGAGAATTAAATCTTTTACATGTTTGCATATTTTTAAATTATTTTAAATTATTTTGGCTTTTTTCCTTTTTTTTAGAATTTAAATTTGCTTTTTTACTTTTTTACTTTTATACGTATTCGTTCCTGAATAATATTTATTAACTTATGCTACTCCTTTTAACTGTTACCGAAATAGTATGCTAGCTGAAACTACAAAACGTATGAAGTAATCATTCTTTTTTTTAACTAATCTTTCACAGAGCATAGGAAATTACAACTTTGGCTATGATGAGGGTCATCTCTCAGGAGGAACTTTCCGAAAAGAGTCTGGAGATGTCTTTGGAAACAAAATCGGATCTTATGGTCTGAGGGACGCTGATGGACGTCAAAGGATCGTCAACTACGTTGCCGATGCCGCTGGATTCCGTGCTGATATCAAGACGAATGAGCCTGGAGTCGAGCCCAAGGATCCCGCTGCTACTACCATCAACAAAGCTTTAATATCCGCCCCTGCACCTGTCTTGGCCACCTACGCTGCAGCCCCTGCCATCACATATGCCGCCGCCACTCCTGCTCTCACTTACGCTGCTCATCCCCTCTCTTATGCAGCAGCACCTTTGGCTCATTATGGATATTATAACAAAGCAGCTCTTTTTAGCCCATTTCTGCACTGATAGAAGGAAATGACAAATTCCTTGCCATGATCTCATCTGAAGCTTTACACTTGAATATGTTCCTTGTTGTGCCAAATGACTACAGTGAAAAATAAAATGATAAAATGAATAATATTAGTTCGTTTTTATTAATTTTGTCTTCGTCCGCAAGTTCACATGACATTGTTAAAGGTAAAAAACAAAGTCTTGCGCATACACGGAATATAAAATTACAGCATGGATTTTAGATTTAAATTCTAAAATCTCCCAAACCGATTTTTGTTAGAGCTTTCGGAAAAAACATTTATTCGGAATTTCGGAGAAAAATTAAGTGAAATACAGCTTTCAATAGACTAGAAGAGAAACACGCTAATGTGACAATCAAAACCGTAAAAACAACCTTGTATTTAGCGTAAGTATAATGAAACGATCAATCGATTTCGAGGGCAGCTAAAGGTCCCTCCTCATCAGGAGAAAATCTTTCTCCTAATGAGAAGATCTCTCCTTTATTTTCTTTCTGATCCATCTTTCTCCTTTATATTTTTTCTCCTGATGAGGAGGGACCTATAGCTGCCCTCGAAATCGATTGAGTGTTTCATTATACTTACGCTAAATACAAGGTTGTTTTTACGATTTTGACAGCTTTCAATACTAAAAGAAACAATTGTTCATCATACAAGAGAGAAGTGGTTACACTTATAACTCTTTCTGGGTGATTTCTAAGCGGGATAAAACACGTACATATTCTCGATTTTCCCGAACATGATTATTAATGAATCTATCCCTAAACACTCTTTATAAATTCTTTGCAAAGAACAATTTTCATTAGAATAGCAGTCATAGAATTTACTTACTATAATGACATTCAAATGCTTTTTTAAATACTCAAATGTCAATTTTAATGGCATATATATTATCCCTATAATTTAAGATATAAATGGAAGGTATCCTTTAAGTAAGCAAAATGATATTATAAGCATATTCAAAAGCATAGTAACTTACATTACTTTATAGAATATTTTAATTCCCGTACTAGCTTTTGAGGACATTTTTAAATTTATAATAATAAGCAAAGAACAAATTTAAAAAAAAATGTAAATCAAATTCTTAGGTTTAAGATTCAAACCTGTGTACCTTTAAGTTGCAATTAAAATTAAGGAACCTTAAGAACTGATGAGCGAATAATCGCTTGAGTTCGTGAGACAGAGAACAAAACGTGAGAAGAGTTAAATTACCCTTTATTATTCCAAATAAAGTTTGACAGATGACTCCTTTCTTGGAATTACAGTAAAGACTCCACTTGGGTCTAATCTCAAACTAAGAACTAAACTAAAAACATATAGCCGAAGCTATCAAGATTCTAACAAATTTGGTTTCTTAATGCTAATTAGCGGAGAAGCTATCAAGAGCCTAAGCACTACCAATCGTAGAAATAGCTTTAGAGAGAGTATAGCCAAAAATGCGAACGCGCGCTAGTCAGAATCTCTGGTTCTCTCTTGCACGAAGTCAGTAGAACTTCACAATTAAATACTTCTAATTATTTGCATTCAGCCGTGATTCTGAAAATACGTTTTGGCCGGAAGTTGTAAGCTGAAGTTCAGGGAGATAGGAAAGTAACTTTTAACTAAAAATTAACTGCTGTGAAGGGGTCGTTTTTGATAGGGTCATAGAAGAGTCATGTATAGTGTAACAAGTATTTATTAACAGGTTTAAGTTACACATGGGCATTACATTTAACTTTGAAAGAAAATTACAGAGCAAGGGTTTGATACAACCTATCAAGTGGGACGCTTGGCTTTTACTGAAGTACTTCTCTCGCTACTCACCAGAGGGCAGCCTTGTTGTTACAGTTAGTCCAACAGTTTATGTTAAAGGATTGGTTACACTGTTAGAAAAATTAATATAAGCAGCCTTATATAGGATTTCCATTTCCTCTCTGTATGAATTAATTACCGCTTTATACATTTTGTTACCAGCGCTTTATACAGTTTGCATATTAATATTTTTGATCAATCAAAGCTTTTAGATTCCTTACTTTTATTTGACTTTTAATTCAAAAAATCTATTATAAGTGCATAATATATGTATTACAATAAGTCTTAAATTTCTACAAGACAAAACAATTGAAGCAATTTATAAAGAAGCAACGTTCAGCAGGAAGCTGAAAGATAAACATGCAGTATTTTTAGTTTGCTAAAGCAGATTTTTATTTTTAGATTGCTAATTTTTCATTATAAGTAATATTTTCGTATCTGATAATTATCTATCTATCTACCTATATATATATATATATATATATATATATATAAACACAACCCATTAAATAAGAAAAAACTTAAAGTTTCAGATTTAACGCTCTCCCAAAAGAATTTATAAGGCTTTTAATGCTCTTTCTGATCTCACAGTCTACCAGTCTACAGTCACTCCTATTAACCCATATTTTGTCTTTTGGCTTCATTATTAAGCATCATTTTCTTCGCATACATTTTTCTGTCTTTTTTAAATAAACATGCAGTATTTTAGTTTGCTAAAGCAGATTTTTATTTTTAGATTGCTAATTTTCATTATAAGTAATATTTCGTATCTGATAATTATCTATCTATAACCTATATATATATATATATATATATATATAAACACAACCCATTAAATAAGAAAAAACTTAAAGTTTTCAGATTTTAACGCTCTCCCAAAAGAATTTATTAAGGCTTTTAATGCTCTTTCTGATCTCACAGTCTACCAGTCTACAGTCACTCCTATTAACCCATATTTTTGTCTTTTTGGCTTCATTATTAAGCATCATTTTCTTCGCATACATTTTTCTGTCTTTTTTTTTCAATCTATTCTTAGTTTGTAATATCAACGTTCAGTTTTCTTACTAAGATGGCTTTGGAAAGCTATTTTTGTCTTTCGTAAGTTTATTTATTAAATATCACGTTATTGGTGCTTACCTCACTTATGGGATGAGTCTTATGCACATCGTTTTGTGCCCAATGCCACAGGGAGTCAGAGGATGTGAGGTTTGGGCTTCAAGCACGTGGCTCCATTGGTCCAAGACTACAGATCCATCTTTTCAAGAGACGATTATCTAGCTATTCTGAAAAAACACAGCAAAGAGGGGGGTAGCACCCCCTACATATTTTTCAGTTCTGCACTGATATCCCGTTATCCCACTGATTAATGTTTGGCAACACAAAGTTCCTAACCGTATGAAATTAGTATTCATTCTTCACAGTATTCCTTCAAAAATCAAGACCCCACCAGGTTAGTCGAGTTCATTCCCCACAGCACTGTTACTTTAGGCTTAGGCTACATTTTTCCACTGTAGCACCTGAATTCGCATTAGTCTAATAGTGGCAGTTATGCCTATTAACAGAACGAACAACACGGAAAATTCCTTCATCTTTCATCTATAAAATGCTTTTGAACAGATCAAGGATATTTTCTTTCCTTTCTAACATCATTTCTGCAAATTTCATGTTACGTCGCTGGTAAAAAGTTGCTGGAGGTGATGGGGCTTCAAAAGATGGAATTTCAAATTCTTCTTTAACACAGAGAGAACGGTATGCCGTGTTAGCCTTCTTTCTCTGGATTCCTAACCTATAGATTTTGAAAGACTTCTTTCAAACGTAGACCATAATTAGGGGTAAAATTTTCTTCAATACGTAAAGTTGATGGTCGACCGAATGATCAAAACCCAAAACAGAATCTTTTGCCATTAATTTATGATGACAGCTTTCAACAGTTTTTCGGCTCAATTTCGCATTTTGTTCCTTTCTCAACTCTCGGAACACCACAGCTCGTAACTTGCTGAGATTTTAGTTCTCTTTTCCTTGCTATGAACTGGGGGCATATTAGGTTTTCTGAAGCATAAATGGCAAAGGATAAGCTTTGTATGTGTCACAGTTGCCATTAAAAGTACATAAAATATCACGTATTTGCATCTTGAATTAGACATTGACTTGAGTAACAGCTTTTATATACTACATTTACATGTTTTGTATTGTTCTTACAACTTTGCTTATAATAAGATAAAAAATATATACATCAAAATTATAATATCAATTAACACTAACACCTTAATTCCACATTTAAATTTGGGTACTTCACCTCTCTGTTCTAAAAATAGTAATAAAATTTTCTTGATTGCTTAATTTCTAGATTAATCCTATCACATGATGATAACATAACGATGATATACGTAACGAGGATGACATAGCTAACTGGGAACTTAAACGGAAACCTTTTTCCTAACAATTCATATTCGCATTTGCTTTCTGAACTTCGGATTAAATAAATTGTTGTTTGCTATTTCTTCTTTTACTGCAAAGATATCAGAAATATAAAATGAATGAAATAGGTAAGATTAGAATGTCCAGCGAGTTGTGGCCGCAAATGAAAACTGAAACAAAAAAGAAATATTTAACCACACGTTGTTTTAGTTGTAGAATTTTAATACTTGCTGCTTCAATTTCTGCTATAATGCTGAGGGGAATTACTCTGGCATTTAAAGCTATGTTTGTCGACATTTTCTAGACAATTCTGCAGGCTATGTTTCATGTTGTTCTGTAACCAGGTGAGCCAAGCAACTCAACTGGCTATCAAAAATCCAATGAACTCCTTGCCAAAAGTACAGAACATTAACAAAATCTCAAACCAGATGAAATCAACTGCACAATATCCTGGATAAGAGGACACTTCAGCCTTCAAGGCAATTAGAAAAAGGATGACCTTGCAAAGCAAGCAGATCAAATGCAATTAGGTTAATTTGTCAACTTCCATTACCGCTTTCTCTCACTTACAGTGGATGGACAAAAATATGGAAACACCTTGTGAAATGCATGTTTGAAAAGAAAGATTGATTTTAATGAAATATGTAGGTGGCGCTGGCGTTCTTGACTACTGACGCCACCTATACAACTTCATAAATGTGCTAAAAAGTTCAGTTTTTGTCGCAGTACTGTTATGTGAGGTTGTCATTGCATTATGTCAGAGTTAACAGACTTCGAACGTGGGCAAATTGTTGGAGCACGTATGGTAGGTGCTTCCGTAAGCACCGTAGCCGAGGTGTTTAGTGTTTCAAGAGGTACTGTATCGAAGATTTATTCCGCATATTTGAAAAGCGGAAAAACATC